AAGAATCATCCCCATTATCCACCCCCACCAAAAACTATTACTGGAAGGACTGCTTGGGAGGGATTTTGTTTTCAAATATTTTTTCTTAAATTCCATTAGTTTTTGTTCTGAGTAGGGCACAATAAACCACACTGACAGTTCGTGAGCACCCTCTTCTCTTTGTAGGGTCCACTATCCCTCACTATAAAATGACAGCACCAAAGACACATCCCCATTATCCACCCCCACCAAAAACTATTACTGGAAGGACTGCTTGGGAGGGATTTTGTTTTCAAATATTTTTTCTTAAATTCCATTAGTTTTTGTTCTGAGTAGGGCACAATAAACCACACTGACAGTTCGTGAGCACCCTCTTCTCTTTGTAGGGTCCACTATCCCTCACTATAAAATGACAGCACCAAAGACAACATATATATTATTATGGAGACCAGAATCACTAAACAGGTAGTGACTGACCTTCTAGTACCACCTGAACATAGTCTTGAGCGGACATCTTGTCCTTGCGCACAAAGCACTGGTAAGCTCCACCATCACTCTTGGCCATGCCATCCATAATCAGGTTTTCCCGATTGATGCCAGTGATCCGGACATTGTTACCAGGGTTGATGATTTCACCATTACGATACCAGGAGAGTTCCTGGTCCTCAGTTCCCGTCACACTGCAGGACAAGGACACTTGACTACCAACACTGCTTTTTACTTTCCGTGGGCTGATTGTGGCTTTTAGTGGTTCTGAAGATTTAAATCAAAATAAGGGATAGGGAAAGGTAAATAGAGAACATTAAGTATACATGTGCATTTATGTGCAGGTAACAAATTAACTGTCAAGGAAGGAGAAAACCAAAAAATTACTGCCATACCACTCTAAAGAATCATTTTCACCACCAACAGCTGGGACACAAAATATAGATCTATAGGGTATACCCTATTTAACACATGATATAATTCTCTAGACCATGCCTGAATGAATAGTAGGAGCAGATCTACTGAGTAACAACGTTGGTGCTGAGGGCCTAACAATGGGACTACATGGATTCTGGGAGAGTAGGACATTACTTCACATTAGTTCAGTGTGGACCTTTGAACTGGTGCATTAGGTGCATTACTGAAGCTCATCTTCTGGTTTAATCCATGCTAAAGTGTTAAACATAGATGCACCGATAGATATCCATGGGATCTATCCATATGTGTTTCTGTATGGGATCACCAGGTGTAAGGTCCTGCACCAGGGTTGGGGC